CATCATTTATTTGACTTATTTCACCCATACTGGGTTAATCCTCCACCCCCTCCCTTGAAGACTTTAGCACTTAGCTCATTGGCCCACTATCAACTCTACTCCTAGCATAATTCTTAGTGATTTCAATAACCATATAAATGACCATTCTAAAATGATGGCCTCGGAGGTGGGGCCAAGACAGCATAGTAGTCAGACGCTTCCTGTGGTCCCTCTTACAACAAAGACCCGAAAAAACAAGTGAATCGATTATTATGACAATCGAGGAGCCCTGAACATCAAAGGCAAAGTCGAGGAATCAGACTGGGTGGCAGGGGGAGGGAGAGACGGTTTGGAAGCAGCAAAGAGTTGCCAGGCCTGACCAGGTGGAAGCCAGTGCCCTTCAGGCTGGATTGGCTCACATGCGCAGTGAGGCAAGCAGTGGGAGGCATTCTCCACATCAGGAGAGGCCCAGCAGCAGAAAGTCTACTCAGGCATCCAGAACTAGTGAAAAGCAGTGTTCAATCGGCAAACAATAAGTACTTGCATCTAGCCTACCACGCAGATTAAAAAACACCCCACTTTGGGAAAAACTTCTCTCCCATTTACCTCCCCACTCCCCGCTATGCACCAGGTCCCAGGCTGGCTTCAGCGACTGCTGAGTCCCCAAGGCCAGAAGGAGGACCCATCACGCGCCCTGAGCCATTCTCCTGGCCTTGGAAAGGGAATAAATTAACAAACAGGGAAAAAATAATCTGCCAGCTCCACTAAGCCAGAAATTCAGGGTAGCACAGCTCCTTTGCCTAGGCACAAGCATAAGGGATCCACAGACTCTGAATGCCTTTCATCCCTGCATAGACTTGCGTGAGCCCATTTCAGCAGCATAGGCCCTCATTACCACAGTTCAACAGGGTATACACCCAGAGCCAAACTTCAACTGTTTCAACTGTGAAGGGCAGGTTTGTGACATTTGACATTGCTCTCCCCATTAAGCAGGTTCCTCATCTGCCCACATCAGGGGACTGAGGACTGGTGGCTCCATCCATGCCACCTAGCCACCCGTGACAGGGGTCCAAGAATAAGTGGTGCCCCCTAGTCCTTATAGCCAACAGCACTGGGTGCTCATAGTCCGGCTACAAAACCCACCCATCTACACGCTCTAGGGAAGAACAGGGACACAATTTCCTCCCAGACACTCGGAGGCAGCTGTCACCTTCTGCTTGCTCAGCGTGTGACCCCCTACTGCAGCCAGATACCTGTGCCTACCCATGCCTGTCTAGGACTGTAGCTGAGAGCCTGCACCACACACTTGGAGACCAACTACCTGGACACCTGAGCTGAATCTATACAAGAAAAGTAAATGGACTCCTGGGCTCACATACTTAGTAACAGATCTAACCACCTGGTGACAAGATGTTAGAACTTCAAAGGCGCCAATAATCAAACTAGCTCACATGAGCAGCCTACTTAGGTGTATCAAAACAAAACAAGAAATAGTAGGAAATAGTAGCAAGCATAAAATAGATAAATACAGTAACTTATTGATGGCTCAGAGACAAGAGTCAGTATAAAATCACATAAACAGGCAGACCACGATGGCTTCAGCAAGCTCCCAAAATAAAGAATCATGAAATTTTCCAGAGGAGGAACATTTCTTGGAATTACCAGAGGCAGAATACAAAAGATTAATATACAGAACTCTTCAGGAGATTAGGCAAAACACAGAACAAGCCAAGGAATATACAAACAAAGCAACAGAGGAACTTAAGAAGATTAGAGAAGAGCATAATGACGAATTTAGCAGGCTGCAAGAATCCACAGAGAGACAGCAAACAGAAATCTAGAACATTAACAATAAAATTTCAGAATTAGACAACTCAGTAGAAAGTAACAGGAGCAGAATTGCAGCAATGGAAGTCAGAACTAGTGAGATTGAAGATAAAGCACTTGACACCAACTTATTTGAGGAAAAATCAGATAAAAGGATTTAAAAAACTGAAGAAACTCTAAGAAGTATGCGGGACTCTATCAAAAGGAATAAGCTACAAGTGACTGGAGTACCAGAACGGGGGGGAACAGAAAATACAGAGAGAATTGTTGAAGATCTGCTGGCAGAAAACTTCCCTGATACCGTGAAAGATAAGAAGATACCTATCCAAGATGCTCATCGAACCCCACACAAGGCAGATCCCAAAAGAAAGTCGCCAAAACCAAAGATAAAGAGAGAAACTTTAAGAGGCGCTAGGGATAAACGAAAAGTTATCTACAAAGGAGAGTCAATAAGAATAAGCTTGGACTACTCAGCGGAAACCATGCAGGCAAGAAGGCAATGGGATGACGTACATAAAGCCTTGAAGGAAAACAACTGCCAGCCAAGAATTATCCAGCAAAACTGTCTCTCAAATATGATGGCGAAATTTCCAGATAAAGACAAGTTTAGGGAATTTGCAAAAACCAAACCAAAATTACAAGAAATGCTAAAGGGAGTCCTCCAGTTAGAAAATCAATAACATCAGATAACAACCCAAGACTAGAACTCAGGACAGAGCAACCAGATATCAACCCAGATAGGAAGTCACAAAAATAAATCAAAGCTAAAACCCTGAAAATAGGGAAACAGATGTCATTATGTAAAAGATGACAACATTAAAACAAAAAAGAGGGAATAAAAAAAAGTAGACATAGATTTTTCATATGGAGAGGAAGTCAAGGCAATATAAAGAAATAAAAGACTGGTTGAAACTTCGAAAAATAGGGGTAAATATTAAGGTAACCACAAAGGAAACTAACAATCCTACACTTAAAAATACAAAACAAGAAAAATATACAAGACTTAGCAAATACAAAATCAATAACAATGAAAAAGATGAAAAGAAAATGCATAAAGAAAAACAACTCAGCCCAGAAAATTAACTGGAACAAAGACACTGTCAGCAACACACAAAAAAAGACATCAGAATGACAGCACTAAACTCATACCTATCAATAATTACACTGAATGTAAACGGACTAAATGCACCAATAACGAGACAGAGTGGCAAAATTGATAAAAAACACGTTCTGTCTATATGCTGCCTACAAGACACACACCTTAGACTTAAAGACACAAACAAACTAAAATTCAAAGGATGGAAAAAAAAATATTTTCAAGCAAACAACAATCAAAAAAGAGCAGGGGTGGCAATATTAATCTCTGACAAAATAAGACTTTAAAGTAAAATCCACCACAAAGGATAAGGAAGGACACTATACAATGATTAAAGGGTCAATACACCAGGAGGACATAACCATAATAAATATTTACGCACCCAACGACAAGGCTCCAAAATACATAAAACAAACTCTTAACAGCACTGAAAAGAGAGATAGACAGCTCCACAATAATAGTAGGAGACTTCAACACACCACGTTTGGTGAAGGACAGAACATCCAGAAAGAAGCTCCTAAACTGTGAGAAAATAAATTTCTCCCAGCACCACCCAAAGAAAAATATAAAACTTTGCTTCCCCCAACCTTCCGCCTCTCAAGAAAAGGCAACTCCATTCCTCCAATTGCTCTTACCAGAAACTTGGGAATCATCCTTGACCTTTCTCTTCCTCTCACACCCCACATCTGATCTGTCATCAAATTCTGTCACCTTACCTTCTACCTCTATCTAAAATCTGGCCACTCCTGACCACTTCCACTAGTCTAAACTACCATCACCTCTCATCTGGATTATTCACTGCCATCCAACTGGTCATCTTGCTTCCCCACCTAGAGTTTATTCTCAGCAATAGCATCCAGTATTCCTTTTAAATCTAAATGATGTCATGTCATTGCTCTGCTAAAAACTTCCAATGGCTATCCAACTCTGAGTACACGCCACATATGGTCTGTAAAGTCCTAATAAACTGACTGCTATTAACTTCTTGACATCATCTCTTACCACTTTCCTCTTCACTCATTCTGCTCCACCACACTGGTAACCTTGTTCACCATCTCAGAGCCTTTGTACTTGGTTTGTCCCAGACACCCATATAACTGATTTCCTAGTTCTTCAGGTGTCTGCTCAAATGTCACCTTATCATGAGTCCATCCCTGATCATCCTATATAAAGTAGCAATCCGTCCCCCAGCATACCTATTAACCTGTTCTATTTCTCTCCACAGTACTTACCATTGGCACATGATATCTTTGTTTACTGTCTCCCTCAACTAGAATGCCATCTATCCATGAGGACAGACTTAGTTTTGTATACCTAGAACAATTACTGAAACAAAGGAGAAACTCAAATAAATTTCTCAAAATATTTTCCCATACAGCATTATGAATTCAATGCTCACAACAGCCCTGGAAAGTAGTGAAGAATAGGATAGTATAAATTTCATTTTTGGTTTTTTAAAATATGAAAGCATAAATATATACAAAGATATAAAATGATTTGTCTGTGATCACACAGTAAGGTACCAGACAAATCAGGGTCTCCAGCAGTTTTTCCAATACACATCACTGTCTCTACAAACAAAGAAAAAAGCCAGTGTATATTTAATTCTGCACAGTGATCTTTAAAAGCTCAACCTGAAACCTATCCCTTTAAACCATGATCAAACATAAAGCAGCACCAGAATTGTACATGCCTCAGTCCAGTCCCTGGAGAAGAACACGAGGCTTGGTAGAGGGTTAGCAAAAAAGAAGACTACCCTCAATGAGATGGACTGACACAGTGGCTCCAACAGTGGGCTCAAACACGGCAACGATTGTGACGATGGCACAGGAACAGGCAGTGTTTCGTTCTGTTGTACATGGGGTCGCTATGAGTTGGAACTGACTCGACAACCCCTAACAACAAAAGACTATGATACAGGTCATGAGGCAGAATTTACACATCTTGTGACAATTCTGACCAAAAGGAAAGGGGCGATATGCCCAAAAAAAAAACACCGTTTAAGTATTCAAGTATTCTGTGTCCTCCTGTGCCCACTGCAGCACACTTAATACTGAAAGGTAAACCAGTACCTTGGTAAACAAGTTTCAAACAGTACCTTTGATTCTTGAAAGACCTTCTGTTGCCATTCTACAGAACAGAGCATGACAAAGAAACGAAATCTGGAGACAGAACGGACACAATTATTTCTCTTAATTATTAGAGTTTGCAAAATGACCTCAGAATGTGCAATCTATTTTTAAATAAGCAGTACTATTACAAACCACCAATTTAAAACAATAGAAGTCTTCTTGTTTTTACTTTGGCAAAATGAACTACATACAACAGGTTTTGAATGACCAAAAAAAAAAGCATAAATTCATCAAGGATTAGGTCAATACAGGAAATGTTTCTTATTATACCACAGTGCTAAAAACTAAGAAATATATTAGATCCTTCAATAATATAATTTAATTTCCAGACTCTTGGCAACATTCATTCTCTTTCTGGCACCCTATGCCACAGCTGAAAACTGTGTATCTAGGTCAGAAAAGACAAGCAGCTTTTCGGAACAGCTCAATATCTTTGGCACAAGTGTTAATAATTCAACCCTTTCAGAAACTCCTTTTAAAATGCCCCTGATGTAAATCACAAGATTAGTACTACTGATATTTATGAAAAGTCACTGGAAAAAATACTTATATGTTAGATTTAGAAAATTCATAGAGGTAATGCACTAAAGGAAAATATAAGATAATATATACAATGAATTAGTATAAGAGTAATGTTCAGCGTAAGAGATTTGCATTTTAGTTCCAGTTCTGCTACTAAGGAGTTGGCCAATTGTGAACAAACCTCCATCTCTCTGAGCCTCAATTCCTTCATTTATACAGTAAAGAGGCTAGACCACACCTAGGAGTACCTTTGTTTTAACATGATTTTATGATAACCCAGAAAAGTACATTTCATATGAGACATATTAAATTTATTCCTTAGAAGTTCACATTTTGCAATTTAATCACATTTTAAATACTGTAGAAAACAGAAACTGGGGAAATCTGAACACTGAATATTTGAAAATATTATGGAATTATTTCTGGAGTGTGATAATGGTATTGTGTGGGGTTTTAGTATAGGAGGGAGTTCATACATTTTAGAGATAAATGCCATTTAAAATTAAATTATGTATCTGGGATTTTCTTTAAAATAATCGAGTTTGGAGTTGAGGGGTGATGAAAATCACAATTGGTCATATGTAAATAATTACTGAAGAGATATGATAGGAGGCTCTCAATGGTTCATGGGGGTTCTCTCCACTTGTATATGTCTGAACACTTCCATAATACAGTTTTTAATCGGGAATAAATCCATTAGGAATCCACACAAACAACTTTCAATTTATCTGTAGTAAAATTAAGGTTTCAAGTGTCATATTTTCTTCAGACACAACATGCCTGCTTTAAAGAATCCATTATGCAATTGCACAAAACCAAAGTGGGTAAAAGTGTAAAAGGATACAACCACCTTGGGGAGCAATTTAATAATAATAAAATCAAAGATGTGCATACTCTACAAGTAACAACATTATTTCTGGTTACAGTATCTAGAGACAGTCCAACATATAAATATAGCAAGACGGTAACACCGATGTTTACTGCAGCACTGTTTATAATCACAAAATATCGGAAACCTAAAATGTCCATCAACAAGAGAATGAAGATATAAATGTGACATATTCATAAAACAGACTATTATACAGCATTTAATGAACTACAGAGATAGCAGTGGCTAAACTCAAAAGAAATGTTGAATGAAAAAGTTTGTTGCAGAATAGTATGTACAAAGTGATGCATTTTATAAAACCTTGAAAACACATAAACTAGTGTTACATATGAATTTGTTTTCTAAGTAGAAATGATAAACAACAAATTAAGGAGCACAGTTGCCTCTGGGAAAGGCTGGAATGGAACAGGATTGAGCAGGGATCCACAGGAAGTACGTATCTGCGCTGTTATTTCTTAGGGAAAAAAAATCTAAAGCAAGTTTGGCAAAACACTTGTTGCTGTTAGTTGTTATCGAGTCGATTCCAACTCATGGCAACCCCAAGTGTGCAGAGTAGAACTGCTGAAGAGAGTTTTCAAGGCTCTGACCTTTCAGAAACATTGCCAGTCCTATCCTCCAAGGCACCACTGGGTGAGTTCAAACTGTCAACCTTTCAGCTAGCAGTTCGGCGCTTAACCATTTGTGCCACCCAGGGACTCCACGATGTGAAAAACCTGTGTGCTGAGTATACAGTTATTTATTGTATTTTGTCTATATGTTTGAAACAATTTATAATTTCAAAATATTTTTAAAATTATGTCCATATGTAGAAAATATTCAGAAGCAAAATGAATCTTGGAGACTGGTATAAACTTAGAAAAATAGGGGTAAATATTAAGGTAACCTCAAAGGAAACTAACAATCCTATGATTCAAAATGAAAAACTAGAAAAATACAAAGACTTGCAAACACAAAATCAACAACAATGAAAAAGATGAAAAGAATATAAAGAAAAATGACTCAGCACAGCACAGAAAATAAAGTGGAACAAAGAAACTGTGGACAACACACAAAAAAAGACATCAAAATGACAGCACTAAACTCATACCTATCAATAATTATGCTGAATGTAAATGGACTAAATGCACCAGTGAAGAGACAGACAGTGGCAGATTAGAGAAAAGAACACGATCCATCTACATGCTGCCTACAAGAGACACACCTTAGACTTAAAGACACAAACAAACTAAAACTCAAAGGATGGAAAAAAATATACCCAGCAAACAACACTTAAAAAAGAGCAGGAGTGGCAATATTAATCTCTGACGAAACAGACTTTAAACTAAAATCCACCACAAAGGGTAAGGAACTACACTATATAATGATTAAAGGGTCAATACAACAAGGGGACATAACCATAATGAATATTTAGGCACCCAACGACAGGGCTCCAAAATACATAAACTCTAACGGCACTGAAAAGAGAGAGAGACAGCTCCACAACAGTAGTAGGAGACTTCAACACACCACTTTCGGTGAAGGACAGAATATCCACAAAGAAGCACCATAAAGACACAGAAGAGCTAAATGCTACCATCAACCAACTGGATCTCATGGACATATACCGAACGCTCCACCCAACAGCAGCCAAGTATACTTTCTTTTCCAACGAAAATGGAATATTATCCAGAATACACCTCCTGTTAGGCCACGAAGTAAGCCTTAATAAAATTCCAAACATCGAAATATTACAAAGAATCTTTTCTGATCATAAAGCCATAAAACTAGAAATCAACAACAGAAAAAGCAAGGAAAAAAATCAAACACATGGAAACCGAACAACACCTTGCTCAAAAACTCCTGGGTTATAGAAGAAATTAAGGACGGAATAAAGAAATTCATAGAATCAAACGAGAATGAAAACACATCCTACCAGAACCACTGGGAAAAAGCAAAAGCAGTGCTCAGAGATCAGTTTATAGCAATAAATGCACACATCCATAAAGAAGAAAGGGCCATAATCAAAACATTAACCTTGCAACTGAAACAAGTAGAAAGAGAACAGCAAAAGAAGCCCTCAGGCACCAGAAGAAAGAAATAATAAGAATTAGAGCACAATTAAATGAAATAGAGAATAGAAAAACAATTGAGTTAACCAGACCAAAAGCTGGTTCTTGGAAAAGATCAACAAAATTGATAAACCACTGGCCAAAATGACAAAAGAAAAACAGGACAGGAACCAGATAACCCGTATAAGAAATGAGATGGATGATATCACTAAAGACCCAACTGAAATTAAAAGAATCGTAACAGAATAGTATGAAAAACTGTACTCTAACGAATTTGAAAACCTAGAGGAAATGGACAAATTTCTAGAAACTCACTACCTACCTAAACTAACACAAACAGAGGTAGAACAACTAAATAAACC